ACCTGTCCCCCAAGGTGGAGGGGATTCTGGCGCTGCGGGACCTGGTCACTGTCTATTCAGACGAGGAGGGGCTGGAGGAGTTTGAGACGGTGCTGCTCAAAGCCCTGGTCAGAGGTGAGACCCCTCCAGCCCCCCCATGCTCTTTCCCCTGGGCTCTCCCCCTCCCCCGCTGCTGGCCTCCTGCCCCCCACCCCCGAGTCATCACGGTTAGGGGGCTGGCTGCACCCCCCGGCAACTGTCCTCCTGGTCTGGGGGAGGGGGAGCCCCCTGGGTCGGCCCGTCACACCAGAGACCCCAGCCCGGATTCAGAGTGGATCGGCCCGTATGGACGCATTCAATCCGCATTGACACGGCCTGTCTTTGGGCTGAGCCCTCCCCACCACCCCCAGGCTGCCTGGCTCGGGAAACTGAGTCAACAGTTATCACCGCCATCCCCCCTCTGGTTCCCCAAGCTGCCTGGGTGGGGAAACCGAGTCACACAGCTATCACAGCCAGCCCCCACCACCTGCCCCTCCACAGGCGGTCACCTGACTGGTGAGGCCACCCAGTACCTGGATGAGCTGCGTCTGGCTGTGGCCTGGAACCGCGTGGACATCGCCAGCTCCGAGCTCTTCCGTGGAGACATCCAGTGGGAGGTGAGGGGGGGCAGGGAGGGGACCCCGGAGGGAGGAGCAGGGGGAGGGGGCACCCCAGGGGAGGAGCAGAGGGGAGCTCTGGTGGACAGGGGGAGGAGGGACCCCCATGGGGAGCTGAGAGGGGAGGTGGGGAGCCAGCACAGAGGTGGGGGGGAGACTCTGAGGGGGTCGAGGGTCCTCGGGGGCTCCTGGGGGGGGCTGGTGCTCACAGGGCAGGTACTAACCTGGGTTCTCTCCCCCCCGCCCCTCAGCCCTTCCAGCTGGAGGAGCCCATGAGGGACGCGCTGCTGGGGGATCGCCCGGCCCTGGTACGTCTGTTCGTGGAGAACGGGCTGGACCTGGGCGAGTTCCTGACCTGGGGGCGCCTGGCGGAGCTGTACCGGGAGGTCCCCGAGGCCTCGCTGCTGCACCAGCTGCTGGAGCGGCGCCAGGGGGGAGGCGAGCCCCCCCACTACCAGCCTGTGGAGCGCCCCCCTGACTGCCCCCTGACCCAGGTGGCCCGTCTGCTCCGTGAACTGCTGGGCGACGTCTGCGCCCCTTTCTACGCCGGGCTGCGCCCCCTGGACTCCAAGGGGGCTGGGGTATGTGGGGGGCCAAGGGGCGCAGGGACATGGGAGGAGGGGAGCATGGAGGGCCTGGGGGGCTGGCCAGGGGGCAAGGGGGCAGGGAAGTGGGAGGAGGGGGTGTACAGGGGGCCTGGGGTATGTGGGGGGCTGGCCAGGGACATGGGAGGAGGGGGTACACGGGGGCCGGTTTACTTGGTGGGGGCGGGCCGGGGACCCAAGGGAGCTGAGGTATGATGGGGTGTCCCGGAGTCACGGGGCGACGCTCTGAACTGCTCCCTACGAAGCCAGGCAGGACTCGGGGGGGAGCCTCGTCTCTCGGAGCAGACTGTCCCCGGGCAAGGAGCTCACACGGCTTCACCTTCCTGGGGCTGAGCCCGGAGCATTCAGCATCCCCGTCCCCCCGTGCGCCTCCCGCAGCGAGTCCGCCCCGGGGGGGGGTCCTGGGGGAGTCAGAGGGTCCTGCCCCCCAACTCCGCAGTCAGACGTGACTCTCAGCCAGCTGGGAACACAGAAGGTTTATTAGCTGACAGGAACAGCCCAAACCAGAGCTTATGGGTACAGAGACCAGCACCCCTCAGTCTGGTCCCTCTTGGGGGGGGGCAGACCCTGGTTTTGGGTATTGGTGCAGCACACAGGGAAACTGAGGCACACACAGTGTTTGTGTAGGGCAGTAAGACTCACATGCAACATAACGAGACGAATAAAATCCCACTTCGTCACAGGGGGGCTGGGGTATGTGGATGCAATGAGATGGGGGCACAATGGGGCAGGGGTATGTGGGGGGGGAACCATAAGGGGCAGGAGGCCAGGATGGGACCCTGAGGGTTTCAGGGGAAGGTGGAGGAAGATGGGGGGTTGCCAGCAGGGGTCTCCCCATCCACATGGCTCTGACCCTCCCCCCTTTCCTCCCCCTTCCAGAAGAAGGGTCCCCTGCCGGACGGGGGCTCCCCCTACCATGGCCAGCGCACCCGAAACCCCTGGGCCGACCTCTTCATCTGGGCCGTGCTGCTCAACCGGGGCGAGATGGCCACGTACTGCTGGGAGATGGTGAGGGGGGTCCGGGGGGCGAGGAGCTGGATGGGGAGACCCCCGGGGGAAGGGGGAACAGGGCGGGGGGGAGGCACTGGTGGGGGCATGGATCTGGGGGTCTCCAGGGGGTGTCTCTCTCTAACCTCGTCCCCCACAGGCCCCGGACGCGGTGGGGGGGGCGCTGGTGGGGGCGCGGATCCTGCGGGAACTCTCCCACCAAGAGTCGGACGCGCAGGAGGCGGCGGACATGAAGGAGCTGGCCATGAAGTTCGAGACCCTGGCCATCGGTGAGGGGAGCAGAGGGGCAGGGCGGGGTGGGGGTGCAGGGAGTGGCATGGGGGAATGGGAGTTCAGGGGGCCATACAGGGGGATGGGGGTTCAGGGGGCAGTACGGAGATGGGAATGCAGGGGGTGGTACAGGGGTGCAGGGAGTGGTACTGGGGGATGGGGTGCAGGGGGCAGTACTGGGGGTGCAGGGGGCCGTCTGGGGGTGCAGGGAACAGTACGGGAGGTGCAGGGGGCAGTACGGGGGGGTGCAGGGGGCGGTACTGGGAGTTCCGGGGGGCTGGGGGTGCAGGGGGGCAGCTGGGGGGGAGCTGGGAGATCCCGGGGGGCGTCGGCATTAACCCCCCCACCGCCCCCCAGGCGTGTTCGGCGAGTGCTACGGGAACTGCGAGTCTCGGGCCTCCCAGCTCCTCGTGCGTCGCTCCCGCCTCTGGGGCGGCGCCACCTGTCTGCAGCTCGCCTGGCTGGCCGAGGCCCGGTGCTTCTTCGCCCACGACGGGGTGCAGGTACGGGAGGGGTACGAGGGGGGGCGGGTACGGGGGGGTGAGTGTGGGAGTAT